GTAGATCCAGTTACATCTACCACTCCTTCAGCTCCTGCTCAGGCTATCAGTCCACCTATCACTCCGTTTTATGATCCTATGTTAGAAGAGATCTTGAAGAGGCCACAGACACAGAATTCTATAGCAGACACAGTCAGCAGAGCTCCTTACATTCCAGGCCCGACACCGGGTAGGTCTCAGGCACATATTTCCACTTCTTCTCCTCCTGTTTGTCATCAAAATGTGGAGGCATCTATTCCATCTCTGCAGTCAGCGCATTCAGACACAGAGGGCTCACCTCAGATTGAGGTTCACCAGCAGGGACCTTTTCGAAGATCTTCTTCTGATGACTTGGTGGGTTTGGATGAGAGGACAGAGGAAGATGGATTTATCCCAGTTGTTCGGAAGAGACACCCACGGGCTACTGATACTCCACATCCGAGCCGAAGGATCACTCGGAGTCAGTCACATGATACCTCCTCACATTCTCCTTCCCTATGAATGCCATCATTTGGAATGTGAGAGGTATAGCTAGTGTAGCTACTCGTCGGCGCCTGAAGAAACTTTTACAGCTTCATCAGGTTTATCTTCTAGTTCTACTGGAGCCTTTTATTTTGCGGCAGAATTTTGCATATACACGACGCTATCTGCGCTTCGACATGGGAGCTAAGAATGAATCGAATAAGATCTGGTTTTTCTGGAATTCGGGGACTAATGTTACTGTTATTGTTGATCATCCCCAGTTTCTTCACGTTAGAGTTGAGGATCCCAGACTAGCGCGTGCTATCTATTTGACTCCAGTCTATGCGTCATGCGATGCTACTATCAGGAGAGATTTGTGGGCAGGTCTTCACCACATCTCCCACGATATGGACGATCCTTGGCTAGTTGGAGGAGACTTTAATGTTATTACACATGATGGAGAGCGCACTGGTCATAATACCCATAATCGTGGCACTATTGCTTTCTCTGATATGATGTTAGACTGTGGTTTAGAGGATGCAGGTTTCATTGGAAACCGATATACTTGGACCAATGGTCGGGTCAGAAAGAGATTGGATAGGGTACTTATTAATTCTACAGCTGTAGCTTTTTGTCGACAGCTTACAGTGAAACACTTGAATCGGACTTCATCGATCACTCTCCTTTACTGCTTCAGTGGGTTTCTGATGATGATTTGGGGCCTAGACCGTTCAGATTCCTCAATGTTTGGACCAAGCACCATGATTTTCTAGCCTTTGTCTCCCAGAAGTAGTCGCTTCCTACTCATCTCACAGGGATGACCGCTCTTTGGGAGAAGTTCTTCTGGCTGAAACAGGGTCTGCGCTGGTGGAACCGACATGTATTTGGAGATATTCTCCAGCGGGTGCGCGATACTGAGGTCGGGGTTGATTAGGCTGAGATAATATATGATAGAGATCCTACACCGGAGCACCGTAACTTACTACATCAGGCCCAGGCAGTTTTGAACCGGACCTTGTCTATTGAGGAGGGCTTTTGGAAGCAAAAGGCCGGTTCACGTTGGGCATGTGAGGGTGATCACAATACTCGATATTTTCATGCGATGGTTCACGGTCGTAGGATCAAATCGCGTATCAGGTCTATCAGGACACAGGCGGGGGAAGTGTTATCTACTCCTACTGATATTCAGACCTCGGCTGTTGCTTTCTACCAGGATCTCTTATCTGCTCCTCCACAACCCTTGGACCACACCGTTCTGATGTCATTTCGAGGCTATTGACGGTGGATGATAATCTAGTACTAAATCGCCCCCCTTTGATTCATGAGGTACGGGAGGCAGTTTTCAGTATTGATGCTGACAATATCGCTGGTCCGGATGGCTTCTCATCCCTATTCTTCCAGCATTGTTGGGATATTGGATTTCTTTGATGGTGGTCATCTTCCACGGGGTTTTGCTGCTACTTCTATTGTGTTGCTACCTAAGAAAGATGGTGCTTGCAGATGGACTGAATTCAAACCAATCAGTTTATGCACAGTGTTCAATAAGATTATTACTAAGCTTTTGAACAC